GCTTTACTGTATAGAACTGCCACAGTTGAAGGAACCTACAGAGCAAGCATATATTCTACTTGTATGGATTAACATTCTTATGAAAGGAGATCTAAGGCAACGTTTTGGTAGTCCATATACTATGCAAGTATCTAGAGAAACATCATATGAAGATTTACAAAAACTTTTATTAAAAGAAATGCATAGTGTTCTGGCTGATGATGTGCTTACGTCGAGTCAGAGTCCTGGACTATTTAATATTCGAGTAGCGGATCCTGCAGCTACTCCTATTCAAGATGAACATCCGTGTATAGATCCTTGTGTAGAACATCCCCTTTACACAGAACAAATTGAACAAGCATTGGCTCTCTGTGCCGATGATTCTGGTCCTCAGCATGTAAAATTAATTCTTGAATGGGATGAAGCTACTAAGTGTAATATTATTCAAGATGATAGTGATCAAATCGAAGAACATGCCAGTGTAAAACAATTGAAAACAAATTCTGAACTGGGGGGAGCTGTTACTTTAGAAGAATGTTTTGATCTATATACAAGAGCCGAAATATTAGGAGCGGAAGACGCGTGGCACTGTCCATATTGTAATAAGAAACAAGAAGTTGTGAAGAAATTGGGTCTTTGGTCTTTACCTGATATCTTAGTTATTCATTTAAAAAGATTTCGACAACAGTCTAAACAAAGATCTACATCTAAATTGACCATGTTAGTCGATTTTCCTTTGTATGGTTTCGATATGACTCCCCATCTTGCTCATAATGGAGTTCAAACGCATAATAACGTGAGTAGTTTAGGTGGTCTAGGCTGGTCACCCTGGAAAAAACCTAGACCTCGTCAACAAAATATCCCAAAATATGACGAAAACGTTTATGATCTTTATGCAATTTGTAACCATCATGGACAAGATTTACAGGGAGGTCATTATACCGCATTTTGCCGAAACCCATATGATACTCAATGGTATTGTTTTGACGATACCCGAGTAGAAGCCGTAAATGATACTAATTTAATAACAAATGCTGCATATATGTTGTTTTATCAACGTAGAGGGTTAACTAATAATTCTGGTAATTCTTCAGCCGCATCTACAAGTTCTGCCGGGTCTGGACTTGATCATTGGGTTTCAAAAATGCCACCATTTTATTTTAACAATAAGACTAATAACAATGTTTCAAATAACAATCAAAGCAAATCACAGGAAGTGTTGTGTCAAGATAAAATCGTAGAAGAAAAGAATATAACGAATTTTAATAGAGGATGTCGTAATTATGCTACTTTGCAACCGAAGAAAAGAAATGTTGCGACAGAAACGGATATTAGCCAGATCGATCACTATTCAGATGATGAAGCACCTTGTAGAAGAGAATGGGTAAATTCATATTATTGATATATATAATTTTAATTGTAGATGATTTAAAAATATTATTTTACATTTTAATTTTACATTTATATATAATTTTTAGGCTTCACCAAAACCTGTTCGAAAAATGTCGTCCATTACGTTAATACCGCAATCTACAATAATCCATAGTGCCAGTAGTGATCCAGACACAACAATAATACACGAGTCAACGTTGTAACACACAATTTAAGCCAGATTAGATCTGGCTCGAGCAACGCTCAATGTATAGTGCCTGGAATGGTGTGTGAAAGATCAGAAATAAATTAGAAATAAAGAGTAAAAATAAATACAAAAATATATAACAACTTTTCGCGGAATTTAACTCCATTCATTTCTTATCAAAGACTTAATGTAGTCTATTTAGAAACAAATATGAAAATCTTTCACTTTGAATTTATACATATAAGAAAGCTTTTCTTTTATATTAAGCATCGACCGAACAAAGAATATCTAGAATCTCTCTAATTTCTTTGTTTTGATATTGAAAAAAGAAAAAAATAGAAAGTTACAATATTAGATGAATATTTTCTGAGAATGTAAATGAAACTCGAGGCATTAGTGATTTTTGTATTTATATCGTATTTACAAATTGCGTGAATTGTATTGTACATTCTAGTTGTTAGAAAACTTTTTAAGAAAAGGACAAATATTCAGTATCAAAAAGTATGAATCCCTTATTTACATGCTGTCTATTGTTAATACTTAGATTTTTTTCAATGCAATAGGTAACTAATATTTTACATATGTCCAACAAGAATGTACATGTGTCAAAGAAACTTTGTACGCGACTTTTTTTTCGAATTTGCGGATCAAATATCGTATGCGTCGTGTTGCAATGAAACTATGACAATAACTGAATCTTATTTAGCAGGATTCATGTATTACAATGACTTTCTTTTCAATAATAATTCTTGTTTGGACATATTATATAGTTGCTAATCATTGCTTTGAATTTATGCTTAATTATAATATTTATATCATATTTGTATCACCTACTAGTGGCCTTATCTCAGTAATTAATATTAATATGTCATTTGCAATCATACAAGCATAGTTACTATTTTGACAGCGTTTTATTACCAAACATTGACATTGTATCGTGAAAGCCACCAAATTGTAACATATATATCACTAATTCTTTGGATTCTAATGAATCGACGACCAAAAAAATCAATATACTTCCATTTAAAAGTCTCGTTCTTCCTCTAATAATCGGCATAATTAAATTTTGTTATTCGAAAAAGATAATATGTCGGTTCTTAATAGAGTGGCTTTCCTAATATTCTTCAGCGATGTCTTTTTTTGTATTTTATTCTCAAATACTCTAATCTCTCAGTTGTAACGAGCATTCCACTTATTGTTAGATTTGTTTATAAATAGAAGATGATGAAAAACAGAAGCATGAAAGTGAAACAAATTTATATATATTCATATACACGTAGGTGTATAATTTGTGAGTGAAAGATATTTAAGTTATTTTAAAAGTAACATTTATTACTAGTCATATGTATCGTGGACGGGATGTGGCGACTAAAGAATGTATGTGACGAATTGTAACACAATTAATATCGAATTCATTATAATAATATAAAAAAAGATATTTGATTGAAATAAAAAAAAAACGTAAGATATAACTTGATATACATGTTTTAAAGGCGTTTACACGTAAATTGGTTCCTGTGACAAGATTAAACAAGTGCCATGATGGTCTTAGAGATATAATACTCAATAAAAATTCAAATATTTTTATACTCGGTTTAATAACGATTGTTCTTTTCAAATTTAGTAATTGAAAACTTAAATATCTTAAAAATTAATCAATAATCAATAAACTATATGTAAATAATTATAGTAAAGAAATGCAATTTTTCTATAAATATTCCAATTACTGGATTTGAAAAGAGACATCACATTAAATGATCGAGTATTATTCAGTTCAAAATAAGAAGTTCCCTTCGTGGCATTTAATAAACTGCATGATAGAATGAATGTGTAGAATGTGTGATAAACAGAAGTAAAGGAAAGCCACTACCCGTTTATTATTCTATGATTTTAGAATTTTGTGCATTCACGTTAATCGACTGAGGGATATGTTATTAATTATATTATCGCTGTTTTTGTTGAAATAAATTAGGAAATGTATATATAAATGAAAAAAAACGTCATTCCACTTTGTGCACGCTGAATTATGTCAGCTTTGATCTATGATTCTAAATACTTCGCGTTTTTTGAAGTAACTGTTGATGCTTGTTATGTTTATAGACAATTAATTGCCACGCTTTTTATAATTTTTCAAGAGCACGCGTGGGAAATTCCCTTGCATCAATTCAGAAATTTCAATGTGGAAAGAAAATATCGACCAATTGTATACTAGTCTAATATATTTTATTGTAGTCTGCGAAATATATAATAATTTGTTGCATATTGAAGAAATTTGTGAAAAGATAAATATCAATTATGTCGAATTTTATTTTAATTATATCAGTTTATAAATAATAGAGTATAGATCAAATAGATAAAAAAGCAAATTTGAATTCGAAATGAGATATTGTATAATACTATTATTCAAGTCTAATGTAAAAAGTTTATAAATAATTAGGAATAAAATAAATCGTAATATACAGAGATTTGTCAATAAAAGTAATATTCATACATAAAATATTTGGAATATAGTAATTTAAAGAAAAATTATGTATTTGACTATTATTTACATTAAAATTCGATTATAAAATATGCGTTCATTTTAAAAATATATATTGATCCCAATTCTTTTGTTATTTAATAAAAATATAGTATTTATTTTGTTATACTTGAGAAATATGTAGTAAAATTAATTGTTTTTAATTTAGTAATAAACAAATTATAAAAAAATTATATGAAACGATATGATTTATATAAAAAAATATTATATAATAAATATATAAATAATTTAATAATATATTAAAAATTTAATATTCAGTGTTTAATTTGAATTTTATATTTTCGCGCCATTCAATGTTATAATGGAGTATATATAACTGTTAATAAAAAATTGTTTATTACTTTTACTTTATTTATAAAAGAAGAAATTAATTTTTTAATTTGTTGCATTTAAAATAATTAACAGTATAAATTAAATATTTTCTTTTAACTGAAAATTTTATTTTCTAAATTTTTTAATATTTTTCATAAATTGTCAGTCATCATTTTTAACAGTTGATATTTTAAAATATATTAATTTTATTTTTAATTATTTAAAAAAATATATAAAATTATAAAGTCATGATTTATGTATGAAAAAAAATTATAAATTTTTTGTTTTTATATTATAATTTTTCTTTATTTTGTAATATTTTTTTACATCAAGAAAAAAAGAAATAAATAATATCAAGTCTTATTTCTTAATAATAATAAATATAATCTGTTTCTTTAATATAAATATATATTTTAAAACTTATTCCATTAATTAATTCTATCGATATTAGAAATTTAAAAATATTTAAGTAGTATATACAGCATTTACATAAAATATAGCACATTTTAAATATTTATTGTATATTTTATGTAAAATACGACAAATTTATAAGCATAAACTATGAAATGTATTGCTTTTCACAATATGTATATCGAAATTCATAATATATTGCTTACAATGTAGGCCAGAAAGATTTAAGTAGTTTCAATATTGCACGGTCTGCTCAAATAAATTGTTTCAATTTGGTGGATTATCACGAAATTTTTCTTATCCGATACATGTATGATTAAAGGCTTGGATTACGAATAATGAATAATATCATCTTACATTTAATCGAAAAGTGTACCGAGCATCAAGAGTCTTCTCTCGATATTTACTTCAAACGAAATAATTCGTTGAAGCGAACTGTACATACGTACATCTTACGAGAAAGATGAAATTGTATGGTATTACATTGGGATTGGTCGTGGCGCCACCCCACTCCGTGAAGACTTTCAGTCGAGCTCGAACCTTCATCGGGTGTGGAGTGTGTGTTGCATTGTCGTGTGTTAGTGTTCAGATTATTCACTGAAAATTAAGGTAAGAGAATTTTTTTACGTAATACATAACTAAATACATAATAATAAAAATATATCGTTTGCATCGTTTAACAATTACAATTATAACATAAAGCCGGTAAATCATTACACAAAAACTATTTTTGTCCTCGTTATTAGTCGATGTTGCATGGAAACAATATCGTGTACGACGGAGTTTCAATGATTTGTTTACTTATGCTCAAAATATATACGAAGTTTAAGTTAACCATCGGCATTCTAATGAAAGCAACAACAAGAGACAGCGCCTCTCCCACGAGATAAGAGAGACAGAGAGAATGGTGGCGCTCAGAGCCGTCTTCGTGTGTACTCTCGGGATCGATACACAGTACACACTTGGCGCGACGTTCGTGTAAGGTTACGGTTTGTACGGGATCGCATGCGGGTGTGTATGCTTCTTTCCATGCTTGTCTCCTGTGACGTCGTTGTGTTACGTGTCTGCGTGCATGCTCTCTATAAGCGAGGGTGGATTTTCGGTGTAGCTACAGAAAAATTCAAAGAAATTGAGAAGAACGCGTCAGACTATGCGGGTACTTCATGCAACGCACCCTCTCTCAAGGCGAGCGCGCCGGCAACCGTTGCTGAAAAGAAACGTGTGAGAATGACAAGTAAGTGCAGTAAAGATATTCAAAAAGGGAGATTTGCTGTCTGGTATACCGCGAATTATAATAGTGAGACTTGTCACATTATTTTGCTTCTATGAATATATTATATAAAAAATATTGCTTATTTATTGCTTTTATTAAATGTAATAGAATTAGATTTTAATTTAATTTAAATTAGACATAATTTTTTATATTAAATTATAAAAATCTGTTAATATATTATACTATTATTTTTCATTGTTTTCATTTTATATTATTTTATATTATAAAAAGCAAAATTTAACTATATGGGAAAAAATATTCATATTTGATATAATAATGTGACAAAAATACAGTGATATTATTTTCATATTATATTTCTAATATTCATGAAATTAACAGCAATATGTTCTTTCTTCTTTTTTTTTTTTTTTTTTATTATATTAGTGTTAGATTAGATAGACAAAGGTTAGATGTTAGAGGTTAGAAACATGTAGCTAACTGTTAATCACTTTATCCGTTATTTTCATATTGACAATTTGATCTTATGAATACTTTTGAAAATTGGTAGAGTTAGTCAATAAAATAAAATAGTCATAATATACTCGATCGATTTGTGGGAATCGAAAAACCGCAACGCGTGCGATAATCTATCATTAGAATAAGTTTCACTCTCCGAGTAACTTTTTACGTAATGAGAAATTGTAATATCTTAACCTATTTATTGGTTCGATAGACAATCATATTTTAGTGAACTATATCACACTATGATATATTTCTTGATATAATACTTTCATGTATTATTTCTCACTCTTTTTTTTAATATTTAATTACATAAGTATTCCTTACGTGCATTTTTTATAAACAATTTTATTAAATGTTTGCTATAATAGAAATTTTATTGTAAAAAATTGATTGAATGTTTTATTCATAGATTTTTTTTGAACATATATGTTACATGTTTATACGTATAGAAAATTTTCTTAAGACAATACATTCGAAAATAATCTAATCTAAGAAATTATATTTATTGTTATATTTATTGTTTATGTCATCTATTTCTATTATTTATAACGCTTTAGATTTTTTTTAATGAGTCTATAATGAGTTATACATATATAAATAATATTCTGATCGCAAATTTTTTCTTTATTTCAAAGAATCGGATATTTAATAAGATTAATATTTAATAAGATTAATATTAAGTAAATATGAAATAAAAATATAGATGAAAAAGACAAATCTAAACATTCGAACGAAGTAGTCGATATTATCTATTTGTTTCATTGAATAAAGAACGAAACACGAAATATCTAGTATTTCGATGATCATAACTTTCATATGAAATTTTATATTTCCTTATATATTACTCGACAAAATAATTTACAAATAAAAATTTGAAAAAAAAAAAAGAGAGCAAGTATACTTGATTTTGTTCTGTATATTGCAGTAATATACTGATATTTCGAATTCGTTTTTTTGAATTTTTAATTTTACAATGATTTAAAAATCAATTTTAACTTATAGAAAATTTACACATATATTCGTGTATTCATTCATACGTAATATTAAATTGTGTGTTTGTTTTTTATGTGATGTAAAACATCTCTCTATCGAGATGCTCTAAATCAATAACAACCAACTGCAAGTGATGTCAATTTCAATGAAACTAGAACGCGACGGTATTATTTTAATAAATGGTACGCGAAAAATTAATTATATGAAAAATTCAAACTTATCGAACTATGCTTTGAAGAAAACCTGTATTTTCGAAATATAATTCTTTAGCATATATCACGAACACATTTACCACAAGTAGAAATGAACGTGTGTTAGTAATGTCAATTCGTTAAATCACGACAAAGATAATTAACCGATCAAGTAACAAATAAAATAGTTTTTGTTATCTATCGCTTAAATTACAGATAACCAGTTAAATACACCCATGACCGATTCATTTTGATCGTTTAACGGTTCGAGATAATTATCTGCCATTTGATAGCTTATTTAGTTCCAACGGTAATTAATGCTTTAAATTTTCGTAGCTAATGATATAATAGATTTATTCTTTACACTTTAATAAGTATCTTATTAATATAATGTCAAATATAAATCAATGCGTTATCTTATGAATACTTATACTCTGTATATCATATTTAATTCAATAATAATATTTGTTAATTTATAAATTAACGCTAGGGAATAATAATACGCAATGTTTGCTATTTTTTAATAGCGAATTGATATAATTTTAATTTATTATAGAATCATTTTAAATGAATGCTAACCAAAAAGAGACGAGATGAGATGATGGACGAGAAAAGAAAAACAATTAGTTTAAACTTGTACGCATCACTAACTCGGAATAATTGGGCCAATCGATAGTTACTACCCTTAGTTCACCCTTCACTTCTAATGAACTCAAATCATGTGCAAAATCGTCATCGTGTACACTCGTACATATTATTACACTTGATTTATAATCTATATTCATCTATATTTAAAATTTACTATCTCTTATCATTATACCATTACCAGAATACATCATTTTGTATATGTACATTTTTAAAATTCAATCAAAAATTACATGAATATAGATTATAATTTTTACTTTACTTATACAAATATAAAATAAAAATTAGAATAAATATATTACTCGAGTAGAATAATACAAAATAACAAAATAATAATAAACAAATAATTGTCAAAATATGTCCAACAGAGATTTTAAACATATAGTTACATTTAACATACGTATAACGATTGAGTCAAATCCTTGACCCTCGCACACCATACACTTTCTCTAGTAACTTAATACAACACCCATCTTCGTAACGCAACTTCTTCTTCCGGTAACTATCATAGGTCACCGGATACAATCGAACGTGGCAACCATAATTATTACCATTCGATTAATTACAACACGCATACTTAATTACAACTCGAAATCATAAACGTCCAATCAACACTTGCCAAAAGGATCTCGAGAAGAATCAGAATAAATAATTCCACGCGTTAAACCGCGTTATAATGAAATTCCCGATTGACTTTGATGCTCGTCAAAGGGTCGTCGACTGTCGTGCTCTCGACGAGCAAAGACCCTTCGAAAAAGTGGAGATATTTTCGCGTGACACGCGACCACGTTCCTCGCAGAGCACGCGCGTTTCGTGGTTGAATCGAACGGAAGCATTATTGAATCGGCAATACGGCCGAGTGGCTCATTGGAATGCAGTGATGCATCGCTATATATACGTGAAGCTGGCGGCGGGTGCCAGTGGTCGGTCTATGGCGCATCTTCAGACTTAAACAAACGATCGGTATGCAAGGTGAGAGGCCTATCTATTCAAGCCTCGACGGAATGCAAAAAAAGCCGACGTTTCCAGACAAAGGGGGATATCGGGCTCTGACCGAGTGGAAGTCTTCCTGATGCCCGTTATTCGTATGTCTCCTTGCTTCTTCACCCTTGAAAACGCGGCTGGAAATCCGAGATCCTATCCGAGCAAACTCGTTCCGTCTCCAAACTGGACGTGTCACGCATGTGCTTTTTCTGACCCCTAAAGGCCACCTGTCCATCGTCGCGCATCGCCTGTTTCAAGCTTCCATGCAGCTTATGGGGCAATGTAAAGCAATGAGCGGTCGTTTACCAAACAGTAGCACGCTTTCATTGCGATTGCGCTTTCGTTTAGACGCCCAGCTTACGATACTGGCGACAACCAGGCGTATTATTGCCGCGAATCAATTATTTTTGTACTTTGTCTTCGTAAAAAAATCGTATCTTCTTAAACGGATATGGATATTTTTTTTCTATTTTATTGATAAAATATTATTTCTCAAGTTTTGCAAGTTTGATATTCGGGCGGAAATTTTGAAAAATGTTTTATGATGTTTTCGATCTATTTGAGATTGATAACACATTGTGTGGCAATGTGATATTTATTCAAAAGAGCGAATTTATGTTATCAATCAGTTAAAAAACTAATAAAAAAAAAAAAATAACAGAGAAAAAATATTATAATTGCTATTATTTTCAAGATAGAATAAAAAATATATTAAGAATTTCGGTTACGTAATGAAAACAATATAAAAGAAATTCCGATTTCTGAAAGTACGTAGAGAAAGAGTTTAAAATTCATTGTTTTCACAATTCAAGGAAGAAAAGAAAGAGATTTTTTTGTTTAATTTACATCGATTGTCAAGATTCCATATTTAAAGTACAAGGGCCATTTAACGAGGGGGTGTTCGAGATTGACAAAACGCGTTATTGAACCGAGAGGAGTACTCAATTATTTGGCTTGTTATGCCTCGAATCTGAACTAACTGAAAAGAATCGAGGCATTTGGGCAATTGATCGAATATGGTCATATAATTGTTGAGAATGATTAGACTTGAATACTCGAGG